TCAGACAGGGTTTCTCTTTGTAGCCCTGGCTGTCCAACACCTCATTCTGTAGACCAGGCTGGCCTGCAACAGAGATCCGTCTGCCTCTGCCTCTAGAGTGCTGGGATTAAAAGACGTGCACCACCACCACCCAGCTCAAGGAAACTGAATTTGTGTTGAAGGCTTAATGTAAAAATGGCTCTCCAAACAAGAGCTAAGTTATAACCAGTCTTGCTGAAAAGCAAGTCCTTTGCCCACATGCTATGTAAGCCAGAAGTTACTTATTACAGTACAGGAAACTAAATGATAGTTGGCAATTATTACTGACAAGCTATATGATTAAAGATTAAAATAGGAAGAAGTAAAGTTTTGTAGCTTGTAAACCTAGATGTTTTTCATATGGTAGAATTCCAAAAATACTTACATAAACTTGAGGAGAGTAAATAATTTATTATGCCCTATCGTTTATTGTACCCCATTGACCCTGACTGAAATTAAGTATTTGAAAAGCTGGGGTGGTCGTGCATACTGGTAATCCAAGTACTCAAGGGGCTGAGGCAGGAGGATCAGGAGTTCAGGGCAGCTTGGATTATATACATAGCAAGACCTTTCCTTAGGTGGGAGAGAATCTTGAAAATGTTTGGATGCTTTGATGGACTTGTTTTTCTTTCTGGTTTTGCCTAAAAGAAAAATCAATGTTGTTCATGTTGAAATTAAGAAATCTACAGTGGGTTAGAGATGGCTTAGTGGTTGAGAGCAATTGTTACTCTTGTAAAGGACCCAAGCTCGTTCTCCAAATGCACATGGTGCCTCACTTAACTCCAGTTCCAGGGATATGATACTTTCTTCTGACCTCCCTGAGCACCAAGCATACAGGTGGTGCACGTACATGCGGGCAAAACATTCATACATATAAAAATTGTAACAGTAAGTCTCCTACACATCATAAGCTTTTGAACTATAGTCTTCCACATAAAACTGACACATATACTTCTATTTGTAATTAACTACTGATGTTTTCTTTAAATTGAACATTAGTAGTGAGACATGCCATTCTCTCCAACTAGGGTTTTAAGTGAGAATTATTTTTATTATTTCTCAGAGTTTTTAAGGATAAAATTTAGTGTTCTTCAAATGTTACTCTAAAGCAAATGTTAATCCCCCCATCCTGTAACTTTTATTTCAGGATTCTGTTGTTTTATGTAGTCCAGGCTAGCCTAAAACTCACAATTATCTGGGATTAATGAACTGCCCATAATAAACAACTTCAGAACAAGCTCCTGAGAGTTTCTTCCTTAATCTATTCTATGATAGACTTTATTCACTAAAAAGTTGGCTTTAGAGACAAGGTGAAATAAACTGTTCTCCAAGCCTCAATCTGCCTTCAGAAGCAGGACTACCAGGAAGGTATGGCTGAAGAGGCAATTATAGAGGTGCACTAACCATAGCTGGCTTCTTTTTGATTTGTTTATCAGGCAGTTCTCTGTGAGTAACAGAGTTGGATTTGAATTTATGGTAGTCCAGCTTAGGTCTCCCAAGTGCTGGGACTATAGACATGTACCATTACACTCAGCCTCCTAATTCTAATGCTTATTTTAAAACTGACCCTCAGTTTTGTTCATTTCACTATAGTTCTTTACTGGGAATTAATTACTTTTAATACAGTACTAAGTTGGTAAATCTCACTATGCCTGCCATAAAAAGTTTACTAAAAATATACATAGAAAGCATAAAATACAAAATATAAAAACATATCATTCATTTACATGCATCAGTCTTTACACAGACTGGTATGGCTTCATTACAACAAACTGTTGCAAGACTATGATATTAAAAGTAAAGTTGCTGGGCGGCAGTGGCACACGTCTTTAATCCCAGCACTCGGGAGGCAGAGGCAGGTGGATCTCTGCGAGAGGCCAGCCTGGTCTACAGAGCTAGTTCCAGGTCAGGCTCCAAAGCTACAGAGAAACCCTGTCTCGAAAAACAGAAACAAAAAAGTAAAGTTATATTTAGCTGGGCAGTGGATGCGCACGCCTTTAATCCCAGCACTGAGGAGGCAGAGACAGAATATCTATGAGTTTGAGGCCAGCCAGGTCTACAAAACTAATGCTAGGACAGGCTCCAAAGCTACAGAGATAAACCCTGTCTCGAAAAACCAAAAAAAAAAAAAAAAAAGTAAAGTTATATTTGGAATTAATTTTTGCTGTGATATGATTATAACATATTTAATGTATATTGTCTACAGGGTTTCCACAATATTTTAATGACCTACCCTTATAGCAAGTTTCTGGTTGCATGAGAGCTCAGAAGTGTTATATTGACATGCGATTTACGTTTTCACTCTTTTTCTTTCATTCAGAATCAATTTTTGTACATACTCATTTAGAAATTGGAATCATTTTGAATTCCCTGAAGAACACTGAGAGAGATGTTCTCAATATTAAGGAATCTAGATAAACAAAATTAAAATATTTACCACATTTTGTTTGGGCATACACCGATATTTCCATTAATACATAATTGCTGTGTTTACGTTACCATGACCAACCAAAAAAAATGAAATACCTCTGCAAATTTAGCAAATTGCTATTTGTTTACCTTCTTCTAAAGCACTATACCTAGAAATAGTGTATTCTCAGTTACGATGTGTTTGGATGCTTGTACAGAATTATTATTTAACAAATAGCATATGATCTCTACTTGGGGAATATCAATCCCCTCAATTTGGAAATTCTCAGGACTACCATTGGAATAAATCCAGCTGGTCTTGTTTGAAGTTGATAACTTTTTTAAAATTTTACTTTATTTTTAAAGATTTTTATTTATTTTGTATATAGGGTTCTTCCTACATGTATCCTGCAGGCCAGAAGAGGGCACCAGATCTCATTACAGATGGTTGTGAGCCACCATGTGGTTACTGGGAATTGAACTCAGGCCCTCTAGAAGAGCAGCCAGTGCTCTTTACCTCTGAGCTATCTCTCCAGCCCCAGAAGTTGGTAACATTTAAAAAAAAGAGATAAAAAAGAAACCTTGAACTGGCCGTGGTGGTATATATAGCCCATAATCCTAGCTTTGTAGGAGATTGAAGCAAATTCAAGGACTTTTGGATTATAGAATGAGTTCAAGGCTAGTTTAGGTAAATTATTGAGCCCCTGTCTTAAAATAAAAGACTAGAGATATAGCCCACTGTCAGAGCACTTGCTTGGCATTTACGAAGTCTTGGGTTCAACCTCTACTACAGGGAGGCAGAAACTGGGGAGTTGAGATGGCAGCTGCTAACAGAAAAACAGCAAAACATGAGTCTGCTAGAAGACTGGTGGCTCAGCTGTGAGGCACTGAACTGTAGGAAACCATCTGAACTGGGATGGGGAACCCTTACAACTCCAAGAATATGGATTTTTCCTTTTATTGGGGGGGGGGGTTGAGACAGGGTTTTACTGCCTAACAGTTCTGGCTGTACTGGAACTCGCTTTGTAGACTAGGCTGGCCTCAAACTCACAGAGATCTGCCTGCCTTTGCCTCCCAAGTGCTGGGACTAAAGGTGTGCGCCACCACCGCCCAGAGTATATGGATTAAAAAAAAATTAATCTATTGTATGTTAGGTGTTTTGCCTGCATGTATGTCTATGTACCGTGTGACTGGTACATGGGGAAATCACTGCAATAAGCAGCCTGTGCTCTTAACCACTGAGCTTTCTCTCCATTCCTACATTTAGATTTTTTAAAAAATTCCATACTGGATACAATGTAAGAGATACTTTTATAGTTAGTTTACCTGTACTTTGTACATTATTTTGAAACAGGGTGTCACTATGTAGCACTGGCTATCCTAAAACTCATTATGTAGATGAGCCTGGCCTCAAACTAAGAGATCTACCTGTCTCTGCCTCCAAATTGCTGTGGTTAAAACAGTGAGCCACAATACCCGGCACAAATTTGCAAATTCCGGTGACTTAAAATTGGGAATACTGATTTTATAAATTGGTCTTGGACTATCACCATTGCCTATTTTTTCTTCATGAAGTTTCCTATACCTACTTGTATTTTTTCCTTTGTGCCATTCTATATAGAAGCAATACCCTATTGAGCTCAGCTGACCTGTGCTGAGTAAAACTGAGCCAACTACACAAGAATAACTGGAATGTAAGTTAAGTTTGAGACAGATTTCAATTTGAAACTTAAAACTGGTGTTTGCTCAAATGATAACAGGCCCTCTCTGTATTATTCTCAGGAACATAGGTAAATTTTCCTTCAAGTGTGCTACATAAAGTGGCTCATCTTTCTGCTAGTTTAGCATCTCTCAGTTGGCTTCCATACATGTTTAAAAACTGAAAAGGCCAGCTGGGCATGGTGGTGCACACCTTTAATCCCAGCACTCAGGAGGCAGAGGCAAGTAGATCTCTGAGTTTGAGGTCAGCCTGGTCTACAAAGCAAGTTCCAGGAAGCTAAGACTGTTACAGAGAAACCCTGTCTCAAAACAAACAAAAAAAGTGGGAAAAAAAACTGAAAAGGCCTGCACAAGTAGGCTGGCATCTCTGGTTAAAACTGATGAGATGAGCATCCAAACTGCCTAGGCTCCCATAAAACCAATAGGTGCAGTAGGATCAAAAACCAATTGCCATTGTTCTTGGGGTCTCAGTAGTCCTCACTGTCGGCTACATTCAACGAGACCGGTTTTAACCCAGGCTTTTTCAGACCCAGGCCAGCTGGCCTTGGTGAGATCCCGATAGAACATCCCCATTGTCTCAGTGTGTGGGTGCACCCCTGGTGGGTGGTCCTTGGACTTCCCACAGGGCAGGGAACCCTGATTGCTCTTTGGGCTGACGAGGGAGGGGGACTTGATTGGGGGAGGGGGAGGGAAAGGAGAGGTGGCAGTGGGGAAAAGACAGAAATCTTAAATAAATAAATAAATAAGAAAAATAAAGTTAAATAAATAAAAAAATTTAAAAAAAAGAAGGTTGAAATTTTTAATTATAGAAATTCAAGGTGAACAGCATGTTTCCTTCCATTCAAGGAAATGGGATTTTGTAATATTATAATACAGTACTGCATTACAATAAATGTACAATATTACAATAAATGTAATATTTATACTTCCTTATCCAACTGAAAAAAAAAACTGATGAGATGAGTTTAAAGGCAGGCAACATACTTAGTTCACCAAGGCAAAAGTCAATGTACCTTAGCATAGTAGACGAAGTATTCTCTACACCCACTGTGACAGTGGCTATGTACAAGCATAAATTATTCTAGAAACCAGGCAAAACAAAGTTTTAACTTCTACAATCTATGTTTGTGTATGTTGTGCTCTTGATTGTTTACACCACACAGACAACCTTAGTCAACTAACATTTCAGCAGTAAAAATAAAAACTCAAAGCTTGGCTTGGCACAAGTGGCACATGTATTATTTTTAGGACTATAAGGAGCTATAGGCATCAAAATGGGTGCTTCTGCCTCAGAATGAGAGACATAAATTTGAAATCAGTAAGTCAGCATAAATGTTCTGAGACAAGATCTTACTATGTACACCTGGCTGTCTATACTCAGAGACTCTCCTGCCTGAGTGCTGGAATAAAGGGTATGCCCCACCACACCCAACAAGGCTTTTTTATCTACCATTAATAACTATCAAAATTAAGTAACATGGTAAGTTATAAGATACAGCTGTCACAAGAAGAAATTAATAGATAAAAAACTTGAAAAGGATATAGGAAGTAAAATATCAGGGCATAAACATTCTGATTCAGGAAGAAGCAGGACAAATTCTCTAAGCCTTAACCCAGTCCAGATGAAATTTTGTTGTTGTTGTTGTTTTTATTTTTTTGAGACAGGGTTTCTCTTTAGCTTTGGAGCCTGTCCTGGAACTCACTCTCTGTAGACCAGGCTGGCCTCAAATTCAGAGATCTGTCTGCTTCTGCCTCCCAAGTGCTGGGATTAAAAGTATGCACCACCACCACCTGGCCCAGATAAAATATTATTATCCCAAGGTACTAACCTTTGTTTGCCCTATAAAGGCCCATTACACAAATTAATATATTTATATTCTAACTGGGAAATCTCCAAGTCTTACATGGTCCATCAATGGTGAATGGTTTGCCAATCTGAAGATCAGATCTTATAACTGTATTCACCTATGTTATATCCTGAAAGGCCGAGCTAGAACAAACAGCCAGCTGAATGATCTCTCTCTCTCTTTACTATCCACCCTCACCATTGTCACCAACTTCTAACTGTAACACGGGTCACCACAATCTTGTAAATGTCTGTATCCATCTGAAAAGTAAAATCACAGTCAATATTGGTAAATAACCAAAAGAGAGATGGCTGAGACACTAGCATAACAAGGTCACTGGGAAGAAAGGTCTTTATCACTAAAACTTGCAAGTATTCTTTAACTTCCAAAACAAATTACTCTTCTTTCTAATAGTGGCTCATAGCCCTCAGGATAGGAGATAGACATTTTGAAGGCAATATAGTGGAACACAAAACTGAAAGTTTAAATATCATAATCTGACTCAAGAGAAGGCATTATAAATGAACCTTAATCTGGTGACACCTGATTTTTACAGAACTGTATACTGTATTTTCCTGTGTACAAAGGGCAGTGATACAGTGAAAAAAGATAAAGAAAATGGAAACTTCCTAAGACAAAGCTACATTTCTTAAATGATTTAAAAAGATAAAACGAATTTAATATAAAAACAAATATCAACCATATACAATATAAGAATCAGGTCCCTAACTCAAGGAAACTAACAGTTTATAAAACTTGAAAAGAGACAATTGAGGGAATCTGACAAGTTTAGATAGTTGATCATATTAGAAAATAACTTTTTAAACATTTTCAGGGTGTTGTGATTATATTTTTTAAAGATACATATTAAGATAGTTACAGGTGAAATAATAGGCTAAGATTTGCTTCACAGTAACTAGGAAATAGGGAAGAAAACTGAAGCATAGGTAAAGGAAGATTAGCCATAAAGTGAATCAGGGTGATGAAGGAAGGAAAGACTATTATACTATTACCCATATTTTAGAGTATGTTTGGAATAGTCCATAATGAAATTTAAAACAACAACAACAACACATACACAGAGAGACACACATAAGAACACTACTGGGTGCTTCAGAATAATGGAATAAAATTCCAAATCTAGCTTCTAGCTCCATAACTAGACAAACTATCTAAAAATCTACCATAAACTGGCAAACACATTTACCAAATCATCTTCTATCATTAACCTAAATAGGACAGTGAGTTCTCTGCTAAGTTACTTACCAGATACTCTTTAATGTTCAAGTTTGCTACCCAATTGTAATTTGTATTTAAGTTAAAATAATTTCTGAAGCTAACAGAATTTTAGCATCCACAGAATTTATTCAGCATAACCATAGAGGCATTGTCTTCATGCTGCTACACACAGACACAAACACAGATACAGCATAATAGCCATGTTTAGCCCAAGCACATTCCTTTTGAGGCTCATTTATATGTCTTCATATGCCACAGCCCATCATTTAAATAATGGATATTTTCAATGCCAATTCCTTTGTTGACTTTCTCACTGTAGAAAGAAAAAAAATACATAAGCAGGTTTTATGAATTTTATAGGCTTAATCATTCATGAGAAACACAGTCTAAAGTGTCATGCTACTTTACAATCAGTGAGCACCATGTAGGAAATATATTGCTATTATATTATTGTCTACATTAAACTACAGTACTCGGTGGCAATTTGTGAGGTTTGGGGATTTGGTTGATCTGACTTCTCTTTTAGTCAGCTATTTGTTTTATGTGGTACTACAAAATCAAACCCCAGGCCTCATGCGTGCTATACAAGCATCCACCATTGAGCCACATAATCACTCTTGAAATTCATATTTAAGTGATTCTAAAGCTGGGTGTGGTAGGACACCAGTTCCAGGACAGCCAAGGCAACACAGAGAAACCCTGTCTGGAGTGGAGAACAACCCAGAAAGTAAATACAAACAGAACGATACCTACAAAATATGCAAACATCAACACACTAAATCTCAAAGTAAAATTAACAGAATTTTGGTTATATATGTTGAAAACATGCTACATTTATTTTATTTATTTATTTGTTTATTTTTGGTTTTTCGAGACAGGGTTTCTTTGTGATTTTGTAGCCTGTACTGTAACTAGCTCTTGTAGACCAGGCTGGTCTCAAACTCACAGAGATCCACTTGCCTCTGCCTCCCAAGTGCTGGGATTATAAAATAGTATTTTTGAGACAGTCACTTTGTAGTCCCAAGTAGCCTCAAACTCACAATCCTCCTGCCTCCACCTCACAAAGTGCTAGGATTATAGTCAGGTGTTGTTACACCTAGCTGTATGTGTGTTTTTCAAAACTAGCAGTAAAATACACACCCTCTAGCACCAATTTAAACCTAGATAGGCACTAAAGAGAAAATCCTAAAGTATCACATACACAGATGGGTATAACACCTGTTTCAGCACGTTTCGTTTAAAAATGTTTAAGAATATAACACTGAAGACAAAGTGACTTGTAATGGCTTCCTAATGTTAGGAAAAATAAGAAATGAGCTACTTTGCTTAGATATTTATAAGATGTGGTATGAATGACATCAAACGTCACCTGTAACTGATGCTTCCTAAGCTACCACTCATATTTCAGTTATATGAGCCTAAAATGAGACTTACATATCATCTGCAGACATCTTCATGACACCAACACATAAAGCATGTTGCTTTCCTTCTGCCATGATTGCCTGAAAACAAGCTAAGAAAACTATTTCTCATTTGGGGAAGGGAAGTATGAGAAACAATGATTGCTTTGCCATTTGAGCCCGTCTTTGTTCTCTCCTAGACCATTGATTCCTTACAAGCAGGAACCTAGCGGTCTTTGGGTACAATGTAAATAGCCAATAAATCCTCAATGAATTGATCATTTTAGTTTCAAGCCAAATATCAGTAATGCACCTCCTTATGAACCAAACCAGAAAGTCAGGCAAAAAGAAGATAAAACTTACTGCAGATAAATACTAAAATCTGTGAAATATTTATTAACTGCTTTAGTTATTTCTACAACCAAATGGTGGCTTTATATAAATAACACATAAAATAATAATTATATTCCCACCTGGGCAAGGTACAAGCTGATAATCACTATACTTAGAAAGTTAGGGAAGGGGCTGGAGAGATGGCTCAGTGGTTAAGAGCATTGCCTGCTCTTCCAAAGGTCCTGAGTTCAATTCCCAGCAACCACATGCTGGCTCACAACCATCTGTAACGAGGTCTGGTGCCCTCTTCCGGCCTGTAGATATATACACAGACAGAATATTGTATACATAATAAATAAATATTTAAAAAAAAGAAAGAAAGTTAGAGAAGGAAAACCATAAATTTTAGTAAACCCTGAGCTACATAGCTAGTTTAAGGTCAGCTCTATGTTACATAACAAGACTTGTCTCGAAAATATACTAGATTTCCACTCTATTTTGATGAGCCCCCTGTAACAGTTTCAGCCTTTACACAATTGAAACAATGATTTTAGTTATCCTTTGAAGCTTCCAAGTTTTATGCTGCAGTGTTTGAGTTCAAATACACACAGAATCTCTCTACTATTTTTTGCAATTTCTGTAAATCTGTTACTTCAAATGAGGAAACTTCATCTCCAAAAGAGGAGTGGGGGATGATGATGGTAAAGTTAAGGTACTAGGAAAATCTTCCAGTGAAGGAAAAATACAGACCAGAAAACATACCATTGTTTAAATCTATAAACATAAAGGTAACCTGTCCTCAAAGAATACTTTTCTCCATTGACTTTCCAATGGTCCATTCAGTATAGCACAAGTATTTGAACACCTAGTATGTGACTCATATCTACATCAATACAATGTGTGTCTATCATATACAACTTATTCTATCCTTTAGGTATAAATGCCACAAAAGAGAAAGCCTTCTTTTGAGCACAAGACACAGAATACACCTTTTTTTGAAAGTTAGTGTTACACTATGTAGCCCAGGCGGATCTGGGCTATGTAAACCAGGATGGTCTCAAATTTACAAAGATACCTCCTGAGTGCTAAAAGTATGTACCTATCATTACACCCTGGTATTTTTGTTTCTGAGGTTGACCTCAAGTTAATGGCAGTTTTCTTGCCTGAGTCTTCCAAGTATTAGGATTACAAATTTAAGCTAACACATCCAGTTAAAACACACCTTTAAATGCAACCCATACTTCATAGTGATTTCCTTGTACACACCAATTACTATTCCTTTTCTCAGCCTGAGGCAAATGACCACTCTGTCTATGATAAAGCAGAAGATAAGATTCCTGTCCTAATGAACAAAATCCTATATAATAGATAATATAATGAAATATTGCTGCAAATTGGAAGTGATGCAGAATCACTTATTCCTAGTCATGGCATAAACAATATCCTTTAAACAGTATGGAGCAGGGCTGCGATAGTGCACCTCTGGAATATCAGCACCTGGGAGGCTGGAGCAGGATTGTGAGTTCAAAATTAGTCTGAACTACCTAGTAAGATCCTGAATGGGGCGTGGGGAAAGAGGAGAGACATGGTAGCCCACACCTGTAATCCAGCATTTGGGAAGTAGAGACAGGAAGATCATCAAGAGTTCCAGGCCAGCCTGGGCTGCATGAGACCCTGTCTTAAAAACAAGTTTTAAAAAGTGAGTTTCCTCCCTAGCAACCCCTAGACAAAAAGGATAACAGGAATCATTAACTGATCGTGACTTAAAAGATCATCATGACTAAATGTGGTGGTCACAGCCTTACTTCCAATGTTTAAGAGGCAGAGGCAAGAAGATCTCTGTGAATTTAAGGCAAGCCTGATGTTTACATAGCAACTTCTTTGCCACCAGGGCTACATAGTGAACTACTGTCTCAAAACAAATAAAAAGTCCAACATAATAAGGTGTGCTGTACATGAAGATTATTCCTTGATTTGAAGCTGTCTCAGTTTACCACTATTCTTCTATTTCTGGTTTGTTTTTGAGGCAGTCTCCTGTACTCCAGCCTGGCCTTGAACTCATGGCACTTGTCCTGTCTCAGCTCCCCAGATTCTGGGAATACAGGTACACACCACAGCTTATAGGTCCATGTGCATTTCTTTTAAAAAGTTGAATAGGTTATATTGGCTTTTTGCTCCTGTGGTTATTTCTTTTCTTTCCTTTTCTCTTTCTTTCTTTCTTTCTTTCTTTCTTTCTTTCTTTCTTTCTTTCTTTCTTTCTTTTTTTTTGTTCGTTTGGTTTGGTTTTTCATAACAGGGGTTCTGTGTAGCCCTGACTATCCAGGAACTGACTCTGTAGGCCAGGCTTGCTGGCCTCAAACAATCTGTCTGCCTCTGCTTTCCTGAGTGCTGGGATTAAATGCATGTGCCACCATTGACTGGCCTGTGGTTATTTAAGGTCTCACTTTTTCCTTGTTTGAAACTACATTGCAATGTCTCTAAATGCATTTATTTGACCTATCCCATTCATTATTATCTGCCACCTTCTTTTACTAATGAGGCCTGTAAGAACACAAACTAAGACAGTCAATCTGGGAATATAGTCCTTCCAAAAATTCATTCTTAGCTAGGTGTGGTGGCACACACCTTTAACCCCAGCACTTGGGGGCAAAGGCAGGCGGATCTCTGTGAGATAAGCCTGGTTCGTATATAAATTCCAGGACACCCAGGACTAGGTAAGAGAGACCCTGTTTCAAAAAAAACAAATAAAAGACCTAGCTAGACATGATGGCTCATTCCTGTGATCTGATACTTGAAAGCTGATACAGGCAGATCACCAAAAATTCAAGATTAGACTAGACTCCTTCTCAAAAAGAAACAAATTCTACTTATATATTTTCAAGTTGAATATGTTCAAAATCTTAAAATGTTCTCTAAGTGTATTGTGTGATGTTCACCCATAATCCTAGTACTTGGGAAAACTGAACTAGAAGATCCCCATGAGTTCAAGGCTAGCTTGTGTTGCATAACAAGATTATTTTAAATATAAAATACACATTTCTCTTAGAGAAAAATATATTCTCAGTTCTAAACCAACCTCCTAAGTCAGTCTTTAGGTTGGTACATTCATAGATGCCTGTAAACCCAGCACTGGGAGGCTGAGACAGGAAGATTCAAGGCCACCCTAGGCTACCTATTGAGTTCCAGGCTAATCCAGGCGACGTAACACAAAATACCCCCCCACCCCCCACACTATACCTGCTGCCTCAATTCAGTTCTTTCTTGAATGCTTTTATTCCACTATTGATGGGGAAGCTTTGTTAACTAATTATCTTCAAGAGGTGGGACCAAGTTAGGTCCCGAATCTAGCTAACTTCTACACACTATATCTGGAGAGTCAAACTAAACATTAAAGTGACAAGTTTATGTGCAAAAGAGGATCCAGACAGATCACCTATAACCTATTTATAATCAAGTTTCAGACTGCATCCTGAATCTGATAATAGGTTATAAACAGGCTGCAATGACACTGGAACTCCTTAATAACTTTTTAATTACCTTCTATGAATCCACATAAAATGAAACACAATTTATTATCACGAAATAAAAAGGGAAGGAAAGAGGATCCAGAAGGTAGAAGTGCTTAAGATACAAACCTGATGAGCTGAGTGCTATCCCAAGATCCTACAGTAAAAAGAGAGAATTGACTCCTGAAGTTGTTCTCTTACCTACACATACACATACATATAAACACATACATACACACACACAGAGAAATAGAAAATTTAAAAATAAAAATAAAAAAAAAATCTGGCATGACAGTATATGCCCATGGTATGACCCATGAATAAGGAATTCAAGAATAGTGTTGGCTACATAGTAAATTCAAGGTCAGTTTAAGACTGTCAAAGAAGAAGGGAACTGGTAATAGTGGTAAACATCTGTAATCCCAGCACTCAAGAGGCAGAAGCAGGATTACAGAAAGGTCAAGGATAGTCTGGGCTACATAGTAAAATCTAAACCAGTCAGAGATATATAGTGAGATCCTGTCTCCCATCAATCAATCAATCAATAAATAAATATAAACAAGAGAGTGGGCATGGTGGCACATCCCTTCAAAACCAGCACTCAGGAGACAGAGGCAAGCAGATCTTTGTGAGTTCGAGGCCAGCCTGATCTATATAACAAGCTCTAGGCCAGCCAAGGCTACATAATAAGACTGTCTCAAAAAAAAAAAAAAAGACAGAAAATATAATTGGGGGTAAGAGGAGTGAATATAATCATAATACATTGCATACATGTGTAAAATGGTTTAAAGAAATTTATTTGAGAAAAAAATTGAAAAAGGGGAGCTAGCTGAGTGATGGTAGCACATGCTTGTAATCCCAGCACTCAGGAGGCAGAGGCAAGTGGATCAATGTGGGTTCGAAGCCAGCCTGGTCTATAGAGCTAGTTCCAGGACAGCCAAGGGTACACAAACTCTGCCTCGACAACAAAAAAGAGGAGAGGGAAGAATGGGGCACATGCCTATAATTACAGAACTTGGAGGGTAGAGGCAGGAAGAGTAGGAGTTCTAGAGCATCCTTGGCTACAAGTTTGAGACCACGCTGGGCTACATGAGACACTTTCTCAAAAAGAAAAAAAAAGAAAAGAAATAAAAAGGCTGCTTGATTCCAGTTCATCTTTCACTTCTTTCATGGCCAAGAATATGCCATCTTATAATCCTATGATCCCAACATTCAGGAAACAGGGGTAGAAGAATTCTGATCAATCTGAGAACAATTTGGAATTCATGGTGAGTTCTAAACCAGCCTGGACCACATAGTGAGTCTGAGGTCCAGCCAAGGCTACATAGTAAGACCTTATCTCAGAAAAAGAAAGGAAGGGAGGGAGGGAGGGAGGGAGGGAGGGAGGAGAGGAGAGGAGAGGAGAGAAGAGAAGAGAAGAGAAGAGAAGAGAAGAGAAGAGAAGAGAAGAGAAGAGAAGAGAAAAAAATTCAAAGTTGGTTGATTTGAGTTTATCTCCCATTTCTCTTAGTCAGATTAAGTCTCCTTCAATAGGGTGTGGTAGCACGTGCCTGTAATCCAAGCACTGATGGGGAGACTGAGGCTAGCTTTGGCTACAGAGTGAAACTCCAATTTCTGAAAATATACTAATAAAAATTAAAAACACATATAATATTCTTCTGGATGCTAGATATTTCAGTAATGGCAAGAACACAATGAACAATTTTCAGTGGTTAAGCCCCAGGAAGGATACAACAATAGTATCTACGGCAGCAGGGTAAAGCTTAGCTCCAGGAGAAGTTAAGCCGGGACACATGATATTTGCTCCACTGAGGACAAATTTGATGGCTCCTTTATCAACCTGCTGATGTGGCAAGATAAAAGGATCTACAAGAGAAGAAATAAATTATATAAATTAGTGTGACTGAAGACTCAAAGAACACAAACAAGTATTTTCCAAAATTACAATACTCTTATGGTTGCAAAATAAAAGCCAGCCGGGCGATGGTGGCGCACGCCTTTAATCCCAGCACTCGGGAGGCAGAGGCAGGCGTATCTCTGTGAGTTCGAGACCAGCCTGGTCTACAGAGCTAGTTCCAGGACCGGCTCCAAAGCCACAGAGAAACCCTGTCTCGAAAAAACAAAAAACAAAACAAAAAAGCAAAATAAAAGCCAAATCACTGTCCTTTACTAACAAATTTGATAAATATTTTCAAGAAAAGAGTATAGGAGTATACATCCAAATAGCTTGCAAATGGGTGTAAGCTTCCTTTAGAACAACTTAGCAGCACGGATTAAAAGCCTTGAAAAGAATTCTATTCTTAACCCAGTAACTCTACTTCTGAGTCTGTCCTAAATAATAAGGAGGGATGTGCAGTATGTTGGATAGAAAGATGTGTTCCATCACTAACATACAAAAAAAGAAACGAGGCCGGGCGATGGTGGCGCACGCCTTTAATCCCAGCACTCGGGAGGCAGAGGCAGGTGGATCTCTGTGAGTTCGAG